GCCATGAGCTCTGTGACTACAGGTTGGGAGAAGGAACTTTCTCCTTTATATCATGTTCAGATTGGCTGTGGGGCCCATCCAGCTTCTTGTTAGAAGGGTAAACAACATTTTCTTTAAATGTAAAGCTGTAATCAAATGTCTATTTAGTGTTAAGATTAAGAATATATGTGGAGCTGTACCTCCATGTCTCTTTATACCAATGTTTCCCAACTAGGGTTCCACTAGAAATGATGGAATAACTAAATAAAAATATGAAATACTGCGAAGTTTCCAAATATCCCTTGAAATATTCTGTCATTCCCACTATTAGTGTACTAATTCTTGGGATTCTCAGATTATCAACATTTAAACATAGTAACTATATTGTTTGAGTTATTCTGCTATTAGTTATTGCTCCTTAAGGTGTTGCAGTCTGTGTGTTATATAAATTATATGAAAGGAAATCTCATGTTTGTGGAAACAGTAAATTTTAAACTCTCATTATTACCTTAAATACGGAGTAACTTATTCAACTTTTTTTTTTTATCAAGAAATGGGAGGAGGGGACATAATTGAAGGTTGAAGAGTAGTTAACCTTCTTAACGACTGGGCTACTGGTGACCACACACCAGCGCTGTCTTGTACACTTTTCACAGGTGGCAGCTTAAATGGGCAGGAAGTACGTTCACCATGAATTACACTCGTGTTTCATATCAGTTGGTTTGTTATCTATTCCGTGAACGCAGATTAGTAATTTTGCCCATCTGTGACAAACGCATATTTGATACTTGTCGACTCGTATTTGATTCTGATTAGGATCTCCAGCAATTATTTTTATCTTCACATAGAATTCATAATTTAGTAACATTCTCATTAATATACAATTTAATGTTAAAAGTTAAGGAACTTTTATATATAAATAACAGATAAATAATTAAAGGTAAATTGACTGACCATACTTCCGTTTTCTGACTTCCTGTAGCCTTTCCAGTTTCGTCTGCTAAGGCCACATACATAGGTCGAATTTGTTAAGCATTGTGGAAAGTATATAAACAAAATGAGTTCTTGGCGTCAGGCAGGTTTAACGTAAGTTGTAGTTTTAGTAATGTATTTCCATGATACACTATCGTAGTATAATTGTGTTTGATGATGTAATGGATTGTTTCAATACTATATCATATTTCTGTTGAACCAGTGATAAATGGGCTGTCTGATTATGATGCACAACTTACAGTTCTAAGAAATATTGAATGAGTCTCCAGTTATCATAATTACAGGAAACTAATCAGACTTATAAATGATGACGCTGTTAAATAATTTATAACACATCTAAGTAATTAAAATTGGTATTCTGTATTAAAGAGCTGTGGTTTAGATTCAGAATTCAACACATTTTTAAATATCGCCATAAACAATTTTTAAGCAAGTTTCCGACCAAAACAGAGAAGAGGTTTGTGAAAATAATGAGTGGATTACTAAAGGAATCAAAACAAGTGACCCCCATTAATAAAGATAAATAATAATGCAATAAAAAATCCGTAATTGTTAGAAAATCACTGAAGTATTTCTTAACAATTATAGAAAGACTGAAGTGACACTACAACCACAAACAAAGTGCCTTACTCAAGCTATCCCTAAAATCTTTCCAACAACAGTAAATGAAATTAAAAGTGTAAAAAATTCTCTCAAATCAAAAAATTCATGTGGTTATGATGAAATACCAACAACTTTACACAAAAGCTATGCAGACTACATTAGCGTTCCTTTAAGTTATCTTTGTAGTCGATCAATTGCAATAGGGTTTTTCCAGAACAACTTAAATATTAAAAAGTCAAACCTCTACATAAAAAAGCTGAAAAATTATGCATATCTGATGACATACCATTTTCATTACTAACAGCTTTCTTTAAAATATGAGAGAAAGTCATGTGTAAGAGTAACAATTTAGAAAAGTCCCTCAACTGATAAGTCCTTTTCAATTTTGTGGATGAAATTTTAAGTGCTGTTAATGACAAAATGCATGTTAGTGGAATATCTTGTGATCTTTCTAAAACATTTGAGTTTGTAAGTCATGAATAAAAAATTGTTCGAAACTACATTTTCATGGAATGCTAAATAGCTGGTCGGTGGTTTTAAAAGTGTCTTTATGACAGAAGGCAACATGTATAAATAGAATCACCAGATTCAAATAATAGCACCAACTTGAATTGGGGCATTACAAAATGTGGAGTTCCTCGGTGATTAATACTTTGTCCTCAGCTTTGCCTCAGATATATCAATGATTTACCAACAACCATCTACTCTCAGTCTAATCCCATACTTTTTGCAGATGATACTAATATTATTATTTCACATCCAGAAAGTGAGTATTTCCAAATTAGCATAAATGATGTCTTTGCTAGCTTGAATAAATTATTTAAATTGAATACAATTGCATTAAATCTGACAAAACAAATTTCATGAAACTTTGTACAACCAATAAAAGTCGTTTTAATCTAGATAAGGGTAAGTACGCCTAAACTACGATCAGCTTGCTTTGTTATGAGGACTCACATCACTCATGAAGACATAAACTTTAAAATTATATATAACCTTCATATGCCAAACTCAAACCTCTAAATATAAAAAGTTTACTGTACTGGAATTAAGCTATTCAATAATATTTTCTGCCACTACAAAAAGTCTGAATCATGATACAAAGATGTTTAATCCAACACTAAAAGAGAATCTCTTATATCACTCTTTCTACTCCATAGAAGAATTTACCTCCACTAAAAATTCTCAGTTATTTGTTCTACATGTAAGCAGTAGTGGGTTTGCTTTCTTATGTAATTATTTTTGCTGTTTTACTGTAGTTGACTGTAAATTACTGTCATAACTATGTAATTTGTGTCTTTATTATAAACAAGTATTGTATTTGTGTTGCGACATGTTCTTCATCCTTGGCTTGGGCCTATGAAGGATCTGTGGAATGTAAATAAATTCTATTTTGTTCTATTCTATGGTCTTGGAATAGTTAAGAAGTATAACAGTGATGTACTGTATAATAAATGTTTATAATAGTTTAGGCTTAACATTTACTGTTGTTGTAGATATGGCTCTTGCATATTCCATTAAAAATAACAATAATAAAAGACTTCCCAGAACTGAATCCTCCTTTTGTAATTAACAGTGACCTTATTGTAAGTAAATATCACTATTTTAATAACAAAATATTTTCCCGTTGTTTATAACCCCATGTATAAGTGCTATTTTATGAAACTGTGGTGCGTGGAGGTGGTATTTCAAACATTCTCAGATGGCTCTTGAAGGATTGATTAAAGTGTTACAGTTTTCTCTAATGGATTTTTGGTGGATGTAACAAATGCATTTCCAGAGTATGAGAGAATAATTCCATTTAGCAGAAAGATGTATCAGCCAGGAATAAAAATATTGTATTCGTACTTGAACTAGCTTGAAGTCCATAAAACTATTAAGTAGTTGCCAATCATTTTTGTCATTGCTAATAAAAGTGTAACGCAGAACCTTCGTTCCCTCATGTGGATAGTGAAAATCAAGGCAAGGTAGTGACACCATATAGTTGAGTTCATGTATTTGGTTACACTTTGTCAGTACACATTTCCTTAGACGTTTGAATTTTTAATATATATACTTTTTGTCAAGATCAGTTTATTTTGTCATGTAGGATTTGAGGTTTTCATAGTGGTGTAACAACCCAGAAGACAGCAAACTTAATTTATCATGTTTTATGCTATTTTTAGTTATGTAAATTATTCCAACATTGCTGCCAAATTGCTGAGGCGTGCCTTGAAACCTGAATTCAGGACCGAAGCTGCAAGAAGGGAAGATTCTAATATTAGGTTCACACCATGGAAGGATGGCAAAGCACAGAGTAAGTTCCTTTGGTTTCGAATTCTGTGGTCGATAAAATTTGACCCCTTCAAACATAATTATGAGTGTACATCTTTGGGCATTTAGACTTCAGTTGTCTCCCATAATTATAATTTCTTTGTTCATAATAATTGAACATGGTGAATTTCATGCAATGCTTTCAGTAACATTGATAATGTTCTGTAGGAGCTACGTCTGTACCATAATATAAAAAGGAAATATTTTCTTTCATTATGCATTGCCTGTACACAGTAACAAATCTGTGGTACTTCAGCTGAAGTAGTGTTTGAGAGCTCATCATGAAAATGGGTGATAAATGTTTTAGACAAAGGTTAACATGAAATTTTTGTTTGAACATGGAAAAAAACCAACCAAAATCTTTGAAATTTTGAAGCAAGTCTATGGACACAGTCATCATTGGGGATGAAAATTGAGTTTTTCAGTGTGACTTTGAGACAAAGTGGCAGAGCATGGAATGGAAATTTCCAGGCTTACCCTGCTCCGGGAAAGCACTGATGTCAAAATCAAAATTAAAGACATTGTTGATTTGTTTCTTTGACTGTAAAGGGATAGTGCACTGAGTTTGTCCCACCTGGTCAGACTGTCAACCAAATGTTATTTCCACTCTCCATGTTCCTCTTTATTCATTGCCCTGATGATGGAGGCAGAAAGGAGCTCTGCAAAATGTAGGTAAACTTCTGCCAGACTGCATGGTGCTACAACTCAGAAGACAAGCCATCTTCAAGAAGTGTACTAATTTATTATATCGTTTTTGCATCCTAACTGAAGTCTATGCAAATCTAACAAACTGTGTTCCAAAACAGCCTAAAATTGGCGTACGGTTCTTTTGTGCAATGTTTATATTATATAACTTCAAGCGTTTCAGTATGTATTTATCTAACATTGTGGCCATTCAATATTAGTTTCTGTTCATATTAACGTAATTATGATATTTGCCTTATAGGGCACTATGTGCTTGTAATGATTAAAACTACTTTTAATATATGAATATGACTGTACTGGAAAGAGGCTACATCACAAATATACAGCAGATTCTGAAACTGCCCTTATAATTGTTGTACCCTAATTGTGAGACAGAATTTAACTGATTGCCAGTATTCATTTTACAGGTTCCAAGTAATTCTGTTGGAGCCTATTGTAAAGTTGTAAGTTTGTGGCTTTTTTTATATTGAGTGAAAATGTTTTGGAGCAATACTAATAAGCAAAGGGTGGATTTTTGTTTTGTACTAACAAGCATTGACTTCTAACAGTACATTGCATGACCTAAGGAGTCTTGACAGGAATATTCAGAATCTTTTGGTATGTAATTTGGCATCTGAATCTGGAAGTGAATGTGTTTGACCAGTCAGGTTCAGTACACGCCTTGCTGCATTATGAATTTGGTTTGGAAACCAGAATTTGGCCACTGGCTTGTCACTTTCAAAACGGCTACACTGGAACACCGTATTGCATTATAGGCTCTGGACCGCATCATATCAGAACTACAGTGCAGAATAAAAATTTCTATTGATCCCACGTGTTATATTTTTTTTTCTGGGGTGCTGTACTAATTGAAATTAAAGTTGAAATACTCTTGGGTTACAAGCCGCGTCAGGAGGCTGAATGGTGAATAAACCATATCTTCTGCCCGAGAGTCTTTCATCAACTTCAGTTGCCGCAAAAGCTTCACTTTGTACATAATTGAAATTAGTTAACCCTTTTACTTTAACTGGAGAAGTACACCTACATCATAAAGCCATGTAATTTCTGTTTAACTCTTAGTTCTTAGCATTTCACATGCTTAAAATATTTTAACTTGCACACCCAAATATATTTTCTTTTTACCTTTGAAACTTATTTATATGTAAGAGACTAATTTGTTATATTTAATTTAGTGGGGAGGCAGTAAATTTTTTCAGATAAATGAAATTTTTGCACCAGCTATGATGTGATATGACATGGAGTAGTTTTTTACGTAACACATGAAACACCGAGCTGCAGAGCTGTTTGCTGCATATCAGTGAAAGGGTTAACGGTCTGTTTTTCTCTATGAGTGTGCTTATTTTGAGTATTTAAGGTCTGACTTGGGTTCAACCTTCGTATCATGCGGAAACACAGCTTTCTCAGCTAAAAAGAATGGTATATGCCAAATTGCACTACCACATACAGTGACACTCTAACTACTAATTCGCTTATTGTCATTGATCCTTGGGTAACATTTTTTAATCTCGGTGCAATGGATTGGCATCTCACCAGTGGATATACTTTTTTGGCCAGTAATGAGATTCTCATATGAAAAGTTGGTGACTGATATTCGTACCTCACTGACGTGATGGTTTATGAAACTGAAATACAATATTATAAGACTGATTTCATAATAAACTGTAATTTGCTGTTTAATTAATTTAAAGTACTACTTTGATGTATTGCCTAATTCTCTGCTCCCCATTATTTTTAAAATACTAATTAATTAATCAGTTAACAGTACATAAATGCAAGAATCTTCTCATGAGTTTGTGCAGTGTAAATACTATTGATCTTAATAGCATGTCAGTAGAGACAGGAAGAGACTATGAGATATTTTCTTGAGATTCCATTGGTGATTTGATTTGCTATGGGCAAAAGGGAAATTCTGTAGTATGTTGTAGTGTGACGTGAGTGTAATAGATAAAATACTTCTGCAGTTTATGTTACTCCAAATGGAATATTGAGTAGATAAATAAATATGTGGAATCTGTACTGTCAATATGACAATGGTGCAGTAGTTATTCTTCATAATTACTCATATTTTGTATGGCAAGGAAAATCAAAGATAAAACCAATATGTTGAACCAGTTTTACCAATATTCAGTCAAGCATTATAGTTGAGATTTCAGGTTCTCGTGGCAGTGAGTATGAAAATGGCTGTCTTCTGGGATATTGTGTCATAGTCTGGTTGCCCTGATAATGGAGGCTGTAATAATCTCAATTTGGCAACTTCTGCCAGACTACATGGCACAACATGTCAAAGTACAGCCATCTTCAAGGTTCATAGTGTTTTTCTTCTCACTTCTGATTATGTGCTGCAGTCTGTCATGGTTGCCTTTCACTGCTAATTTTATTCTGTTTTGTTTGCAGAACATCTGACGACAGCAGCTGAAACAGAATCATGAATAACGAGTCAGAAGGATGTTTGTGTAGTGCAAACCTTGTTAATATTGGAGTGTTGGGTGATAATAGCTGTATTATCCAATAAATATATTGTTTGTAATCTGTAAAAGACTTGGTGTCTGATTCTTAATTACCTTTGTGATTGGTTTATGTATTGTGGATTATAAATCCAAATAATATTGCTAATACATTAGTTTAAATTTTTGTGGTATCTGTTACCATTTTACTCTCAGTATACTCTAACATGTCTTTGTACTGTCTCATAGTTATTTTTCCATGTATGAGTAATTTACCTTTTAATCAGCCATTTCTGTTGTGTTTCCTGTATAGTTCTTTTGATTCTAAGCCCTGAAAACCATGTAATTTCTTGTTTTAATCAGTAACTTGTTCAGATTTGGGCTCTCTTCAGTTAACAGATGCACCAGACTCCTGTTCACAGGGTCATAGTTTGAATCCTCAGTTCTGATGAATTGTTTTTAGCAACTCTCAGCAATATAATCAAAACAGAATTTATATAAATATTAAATTGTGATATTTCAGGTTCTCAAGGTGTAGAAGATGTTGATGGCAGTCTTCTTGGTTGTGATACTGTGTGAACGTATAGGTATGTATAATGAATTCTTCTCAGGCAACCAGCCGCGTCAGGTGGTTTAATTGAGAAAACACCGTTTCGAGAACCATCTTCGTTCTCATCCTCTGGGTACTCAGTATGACAAGGATGAAGATGGTTCTTGAAACGGCGATGTTTTCTCCATTAAACCACCTTACACAGCTGGTAGCTCGAGAATTCATTATACTTAGTCGCCAAATCATACATGTAGGTATGTACTGGTATCAGCAAAGAACTTGGCATGTGGGTGACATTACAATTTTAGTAGATTGATAGTGATTCTACTACTAGATTGGAAACACGTTTGACTATGGACTTGACTGTATGATTTGAATGTCTATGCACAATTTAAAACTTAGATAAATGTTTTCAGCAGGTGTGGACAGGGCTTTTACCGTGAGTTGAAAGCCACCAATGATGGTTTCTCACACCAAATATCCATAGTTATACCTACCATCAACATTAAGTAAACGTGGTTCTAATGATTACTTAGTGATTATCTATGTGTTTTACGGACTATAAACGTTTCCTTTCAATCTTAAAATGAAGGCAGAGTAATCCCCTGAAATGTATTTTTTTCATCTAAAAAGCATAAAAGTGTCATTTCCTCAACGTCCAGCAAGGTGACATACTCATCAAACCTTTATTTTTAGAGAAAAGGTGCTGCAGGATATCATACCGCGTACATTCCTGGGCCACGTGGAGTGAGTTCAGATAATCAGCTCCACTTGAGTTGCAGCCATTTAGTACTGGACAGTTATGGGAACTGTAGAGAGAAACCAAGAATATGTCTTGCTCAAAAACATATTTCTTTTTATTGTGTCTGATGCACCTTGGTGTGTTTGTTATATGCAATTTCACAAGAATTAGGGAAATTTGAAGGCATTTGTGCCTACCAAGAGCTTTCTGAAACCACCCATACTTAACCATGGATGATGACATGCTCAGCAAGTCATTGGGGCTGCCCCCAATAAGGCAGCCAAGTCAACACAATGATTTGTGCCTAACACTATTAAGCTACCGTGAATACAGTTTTCTGTGATTTCTCTCAGTCACAAGAAAAATGCCTTAAAAGGGGCAGTCACAGAGGCCTTCAATTAATGCAATCCAAACCTTTCTGATTTAAACCCCAGATATCCATCCAACCAATGTTCTTTTCATAAAGGATAATTTGCTTGATGGGAGCCTCGTCCTACCAGCAGCAACATTCCGTAGTGTGAACACATCAAGGCCTTCAGCCAAGACAACAAAACTTGATAGCATAAGCATATTCTCAGTTATATTTTATAAGGCACTGTTGCCAATTCCAGACTCTGAACTCTTCGCTTTTAGATTTGTTTGGTGCAGAAACACATTTTGGTGCTTGAGAATGAATCTGTCTATAAACTGTTCAGATACAGGTGTTGAGTCAGTTGTAATCCAGCCTACATGCTGACTGCCGTTCAATTTGGTTAGTCACAGTAGCACAATCCAAACACATCATTGTGATATTTTCAACTGCAGATATATTTACACATTTATAACTAGGCTGGAAGGGTGTACTGTTTGGAGTACATTAACATTCCAAAGGTGTTCTTAATGCCACATCATGTGGGTTAATGTTGTGCGAGAGTTCCAACAATGACATGTTCCAAATGTTGCACAAATATGGTCTTAAGAACCAGTTCCTGCTATTACATTATAGTTTTCCTGGTCAAGTGACTTCAAAGGAAAGACATGACAGACAGATGTGGATGGGCTCATAAGGTGTTGTAGGATTTGAGGTTTTCACAGCTGAATCTGAAGATTGCTGTCGTCTGGGTTGTTGTCGTGTAGTCTGGTAGACGTCCACTGATGTTTCAGAGGTCATGCAGCTTCTGACATCAGGGGGATGAATTCATCTATTGATATATGTAAATTGTTCATGGAGTAGGAGTGAGATACTCTTTTAGTGCTGGTTTATTATGATTGTCTTTTTATAGTGGGGGAATTGATTATTGCATAGCTACATTCCAGTACAGTAAATTCCTTTTCAGTATTTACTGAACTCAGTTTTAGCATGTGAAGGTTATATGTGTCTTGTACTTATATTGTCGATATCAAAGTTTCTTTGAAACTTTACTGTTGTCCACTACAAATGACAATAATGAGCAAAAATTCGCTGGTTAGTGGAAGAATATTACATTTCTTAAACAATTCCTTACATGAGGATCTCCTTTTAAGTGCCTGTAAGTGTTCTAATGATTTCTCTTTGACTGTAAAAGCTATCTGTATCCCCAGAAAATAATTCCATACAACATGAAACGGAAGTAAACAAAGTTGACTTTTAAAGTTTATGTTTTCATGACTGAAGAGTCCTCATAGCAAGGCAAGCTTAGCGTAGTTCAGGCATAATGTACTGAATATGTGATTTCCAATTTAATTTACTGTCAATTTGTAAGCCAAGAAACTTCTGTTGGTTGTACAAAGTTTAATGAAATTTGTACTTCCATTTCCCTTCTCACTATTTTCCAGACTTCTTTTTTGTTATTCGACTCAAATACCTGGTTATTGTAAGGAATACGTTTAGTGTCTTTATTGACTTAAGTAAGTGTCTTACAATGTCCCCAGTAGTAAATTTTCATTACTTGGTTGTTCCTAGATGGACAATTTTCTTTTAAGAAGGTATTTAAGAATATGTTGAATTTAGAATCTAATCTTGGCTGTTAAATACTGAGTCCCAGTTTCCATTACTTAAGACGTGTTAAAATTCTTTACTATTGTCTTCATTTAAGTCTGACTTGTTTCCTGTAATAATGATAATTGGAGATTGATTCTACATATTTTGTAATTATAAGTTGTACATCATGATCAGAGAGCCCATTTATCAGTGATTCAATAGAAATATGATATTTTCTGTTTTTGTTGTGATGTTATTCTAAGATCAAACATAAGTAAAAAGCTGTTTCTGTTGTTCAAATAACTGAACAATTCAAATACAGCTTGTGCTTTGCGGAGTAAAATGGTACTATTAGAATATCAAGAACAGTTCCCAAAACAGCTTTTATTACATCATTTACAGAGAACCTTGTGACATTTATTCATTTTCCTCACTACGCAGGCGAGCATTAGCATTTGTAACACGAATTGAAAGCTGCATTGCTCGTTCAACAATAGACTTTCGTTTCTTTGATGACACTGCATGGGCAATTTCGGCACAGAATTTGCGATTCTGCATCATCAATACTTCCAGTTCTTTCACATTATGCACCAGAACCTTCCGGAAGCCAGTAGGAAGCATGTGTTTTGTCTTCTTGTTGCTTCCGTAACCAATTGTAGGCATGAGGTACTGACCCTTGAAGCGCCTACGAACTCTGTTGTCAATGCCTTTGGGTTTTCTCCATGACTGCTTCAGTTTCTTGTAACGGTCACTCTGGTGGCGGATAAAATGTTTGGTTCTCTTCTTGACAATTCTTGGTCTGTATACTGGACGAATAGCCATCTTAGATCAAGTCAAATACCTACAAAACAGAAATTTTATTGTTACATAACAGAACAGGAAAATGCATGGAACTGTACCTCACAGACTATAAATGAATGTAATAACTTTCACAAGACTAAATAACTGCAATTCTTCTCGAGCTACCAGCCATTAAACCACCTGGCACGGCTGGTAGCCTGAGAATTCATTATGCTTCACCTACGTGGCCCGAAGGGTATGTTTAATGGATATTCACACTACTAATAAAGAAACGAAGTTGTGGTTATATACACTGTTCGTGAAAACATGTATCTAACACACAGAATATTCAAAACGAAAATATTTAAACGCCAATATTATTCTGGGCTATATGTTCGTTAAATATATTAAAATAAGTTCGTACACATTGTATATATGCATTTGAATGAATGATCCTATTATAGTATAATCCCAACACACACGTGGATATGGTACATGCAATTTGAGTCATCTGTGTCGAATATTAGAGCTACAATTATTACAGCAACTTGACTGAAATAAAGAAAATACCTTATATGTAGGGTATTCCTTCGAACTTAAACTAAATAAACGACTTACAATTCTTACAATCCAGAAAATAATGCCCTTACCTTTCACAAACCGGATGTTTAAAAGGTAAGAATTGAGCAGCGATATATCGAATAGATTCAAATACATCTGTGATCCTACGACAAGTGGGTGTCAATAGAGCTTGGGTGAGAATCAAAAATTTCAACCAAGAGGTATCTAGATTATTAAGAATTGAAATAGCAAAAGTCATTATTCGACGAAACGATTGTATCAAAGGAAGCAACCCAAACTGCATCGGTTACAGGATCCGAGCCAAAATAAATGTAAATAATCTGAACAACGTACGACGAGAAGCTAGTAGACATTTCAAGAACAGAACAGAGTGAATTTGTAAGACAAAATTAATTAGCTTGCAACACATAATTAAGAACAAGAACATTAGATACCATATCGTCTTTTCTCCTAGACCAAAATATCGTCCTCAACACTTTATTCTCAATCACCTGAAGATGTTGTTCAGTCCTGAGGATGAAGATAATTTGTTCTCCCATATTTACGGACGAGGCTACACCGTGTCCAAACCAAGAAGAACATCTTAAGAATTATCATTATTTTCCTCTAGAATTAAAGACCAAAGCCGTTTTATTATTAACAGTTGAAAATAATTACAGTTGCTCACACTGAATAATCGGGGATAATTATTTTTATACAAACGCTTCAAGAACACAAAATACTGAAATTATCATCATCATCAAGTGCACCACAACCCAGATCGGGGTATTGGCTTCCGCTCTTTTTTTTCGGTTTCCTAAAATTGGTTCTGCCACAGGAATAAGTTATCAGCCTATCGCTAACCCTCAACTTTGGGGACCAGTCCTTTGAATTAATGTCTCGTGGGCTCGCGTGGACAGGCTATACCCTTGGACAATGTGTAGCTCGGGGTGCCTCGAGAACGCCACTTCCCCATTTTTTAACCCCCTGAGGGTAAGATACTGAAATACTAAGACTATTACTAGAAGTGGAGGTGTGTTCTTTTGCGTGTTATGTATATGTGAGCGTGTATGCTCTGATAATCCATGTGTAAAGCCTTGATCACAGATTTTATAAAAACATGGTCTAAGGTTAACTCCGAATGTCAATGTGTTCTATTAATGGAACGCAACTGCGTGGTTACCATACATTTTAGTCATGTAATGCTTTCTGCTTGTTGAGGGAAACAAATTTGAATGTCTTGATAGTGTCTGATTCATAAATATTGACATGTGTAATTGAACAACAGTTTGTATTTAAGAGCTTTATTCCAGTATTATACGAAAGTTATGGTTCTCACAAAGGAATATCGGATATGTATGCCTTTGACTGTCGAAGAGGTAAAGTTCGTGATACTAAGGTATTCAACGAAGTCAGCCAATTGAATGAAAATGTTTTGATTGACTAATAATGTTCAATATCATTTACTACAGTACCAAGTTGGTCAGCTGTATATGATAGCACGTCACAGCCATGAGCAGACAGATTCAGGGGAGGGTGTAGAAGTGGTCGAGAACGTTGCTTGTGAGGATCCAGAACACGGGAAGGGTCAGTACACGGAGAAAAGGATTCATCTATCTAGGTATTGTGTTTCTCAGATGTGTCAGTTATAGACATTGCGTAGATGCAATTCTGAACTTAGAATATAGTAACAACAACCTGTTAGTGTAACATCAAACCATTCGAAGTCTTATCAAACAAAACTGCTTAACAGTTGTGCTTTTGTAGTGAGTTTCTGTTTAAAGAGAACCTAATCAGACGGATAATACATCTCCATGGAACAAGATATAGAATGCTGTGCTGTACAACTGGAATTTTCCAACATACTTGTTTCAGCCATATATAGAGCACCCACAGATTTTTTAGCAGTTCTTCCATAGTAAGACTGCATTATAAGTTATATTTTTAATCCAGAGCTGATTTATCATCTGTGGTGACATAAATATGGATTTTCTTATCAAAGATTACCACGAACAATGTCTAATTTCCCTTCTAACATAATTTAATCTCATATCAACTTTTACCTTCCCAAGAAGAATTGAAAATGCTTGATAATGTTTTTGTAGGATCATTATTCAATAAAGTGAGTGGTGAATGGACTACCTGATCATGATGCTCAGCTAATAGTGTTAATAATATTACACATGTTGCCAATTACATTTGAAGAAAACAGAACAGAGTAATAAATGGTAATACCATAAATTGATTTACATCCCATGTTCGAAATGATAAATGGGAATTGGTATACAACATTCATGGGCTTTATTTAAAGTTTAACACACTTCTAAAGATATTGTGATTGTTTAATAATCCAAAGTGTCTAATTCAAACATTTAAGACTTTTTGAGCAATTTTTACAATTATTTTGGCTGTGTTTTATTAATACAGCATGGCTGGTGGCAGAGTTATACACAAGTGTCGCTTCTCAGCTTCCTGCAGGAAATGCATGACTCACCACCAAGCACTGCAAGATTTTTCTGATATGATTCAGGTATCGCTCCATAAAAACATTAAAATCAACTTACCTGTGTTATTAGAGGTTCTGAAAATGCTGTCCCTAT